TAGCATATTAATTAAAGTAATTCAAGTCAATAAAACTCCACGGAATTGCTCAAAATTTTAAGTTATAAGTCTGAGAGCTCTCCGTGTTTCGAGGGGCTTTTCATGTTTCTGGGATCTCTTTGTGGATATTTTGCGACTGTGCGTGTGAATAACGTACACTTACAATGTAAACTTCATTTTCAATGATTGTTTTAGAATTGTGTAAAGCTATGGCTGAAACAAAATAATTAGCAAGTACGGTATGTCAGACACAATAAGAAGAAAAAAAGAAAGAAAGTAAACTCACTGATTTATACTCGTGGCTATGTTCCTCTTCCTGTGTACTTACTGCAACACTTCCATCACCGAAATCTTTATACGTATATGTAATGTCGTTACCTGGTAAACAAGATATAGTTATACAGTATTTAATTTTTAGATATCTATTTTTTGTAATTTTAAGTTTATTTAGTTTGCATTTTAATTTGTACTTGCTTACTTAAAAGCGCCTTGATAGTTATGGAAATAATTATTATTAACATTATTATAATTATTATTAAAATGTTATTATCATATTGTTTATTTTGTTTAACTAATAGCAAATTCATGCTAAAGGCAACTGATGTTATGTTTGAGAATATCTTGTTTAAGGTAACCTGTACAGAGAGTGGTAACTGTTTACGTAAAGTTTACAGTGTGAATGAACTTCTACGGTAAACTTAGCCAAGTCCGCCTCATCAAATTGCTGGTAACACAGCAAACAGTATAGAAATACAAGAGATCTGACTCTCCTGGTTTCCTTGAAACATAATACTATTTCCAAGAAGGGGCGTGTTCTTAAAAAGAAGAATTTCGAGCGAACTGCATTCGAATTCTAATAGGACGCCCCCTGTCTAGTGGAAGTAGAATTATTTCGACAGATGTGACTGCAGGTAAATTGTGTATGCGTGGTTTGGGTAAATCTCTATCCACATTATAAAATTTTCTTTGACAAAATCCTGATGCCCATATATAGGCACGATGTGCCTATATATGACCATGATGTGATGACATCATATATACTATATTTATATATATAGACTATATTTGGGCATGTCACATTTGTCATAATAACACAATATATTACCTTTGTCTACCGATGCTGTGAATAAAACCGGTACTTCAATTGGCATATACCAATAGCCATCTTTAAAATACCCCTTTTTTGGCAGTCTGTGTTTTTCTTCGACCGGTATATGTTGCAATACAACCTCAAAACCAGAGATAATATCTAGGATCTCAACCTAAATTACAAAAAGTAATATCATTTTCAGTCTGATATGACATCATCATTCCCATATATAGGCAAATCATACAGGACTGGTCTCCCTCCAATTAAAGACCGCTTTCGTGACAAGGGTTTTCCATAGTCTTTAGCAGCTATGGTCTCTATTAGAATAATAAAGATAAGACGTTGTAATTTGGGACCATGAAAAGGGGTCTTTAATTGGAGGTGATCTTTAATTTGGAGGTCTTTAAAGAGGGAGAACTGTATTATATTTATCATTTTATTGGAGTTTACGCAATTAAGTTTTACCTAATCCTTAAAAAGTGTATTGACTTTCAGACTAAGTTAAAAAAAATGTAGTTTCGCGTCCTAATATTTTGAAAACTTTTTAAATTGGCAAATCCAAGATGGTCGATTGGTAACAGCTAATACTTAACACATTTACCAAGTAGACACATTGAAAGCAAATAAAAGAAGCACTAGACAAGATTCATACCATATGTATCCCCAACCACAAACGACCGGGAGAGGAATTTCACACATTTGTTAGCCAGACTTTCATACATTTCGTAGAATAAAGAAATATAAATTTTTTTTTTTAAATGGTGAGACAGAGAAAATGGATGCGAGAGGGGACGAGAAAGTAGCATATCTTATACTTGACCGTTTATATACTGTACACGACTTTAGTACGTGTTTTAAAGATCCCGCCTTGTTTAATAGCTTCATGTGACGGTGTACCATATTCAACTCTGGTAATCGCTGTGCGTAGAAAACTCACTCCACGAATGTGTAAGAAAGATCAGTAATTTCCAATCGGATCTGCTCCCAACGAAGCCCTCAGAAGCTCAGTTGTTTCAGATGATGTCTACATAGACTGCAGAAGGTTCTCGGTTCGAACCCCGTTGTTCATTAATCAGTTTATTAAAATAATGTACATACTTTTATAATTTAAAAATATATTTCACTACATTGCATTTTCATTTCTTTTTAGGCCTATAATCTTTGTTATAATCTGTCTATTATATTTGTTTATTATATCTGTCTTTGTCTTATGAGTTCTGTGGATTTTTCTAATAAATAGGTCATCAAGTATAATTATAAAACAAATATTTAAGTGAATCATTTTAGCCTTTTAACCTAGATTTTCTTATATCTTGTATTTAGAATCCATTTATTGTTGTTACTACATTATTTTAAAACTTAAAGATCAAGCATACAAACACCTAAGAGAGTAGATACAAGGTACAAACTAAAAAAACAACAACAAAAACAGTAAAAACAAACAATACAAACAATACAAACAATAAGCGCATCGTCAAAACACGCACCCAGAGCACATGCAATGATTTGAAAGTTATACTAGAAACACAAGATGATTAAGACTCATCCATAGCAAAGTGAAGCGAATATACTTAAAAGCTTTAAGCATATCCCGGCGTACGCGACGCCCTTTTCTTTCCGCTAATGATGAGATCTCTTTTACCATGGAGGTAGCTATCGGTAAATTTCTCGTCGATTTATAAACGGGTGGTACTGGAAAGGGGTAACTTAATTTCCTACTCCACAACAAGACATTAATTCGCAGAAGCCGTTTTGAAGAAAAGCTAATCACCCATACTATCACTAAGTGGCTTTTTAATATCTAGCGTAAGTGGCGCCATATTTTTTTGTATTCCAACCATGCATTTCGGTACAACACTTTTTTTTTAATGTGGAGAGTTCTATCTTGTGTTTCTAGTATCTTTGCTATAACGTAATGACGTCACACAGAGGGGTTCGCGGATGAGTTAATCCAATTCAGGGTCACGTCGTTACGCAATCGAATGTACCAGGGACAACATACCTGAACTTTATATTTCTCACTGTTGATGCGATTCTCGAACTTTAAAGTGAGGAGATATGCACCAGAGTACTCGAATTCGATTTTTAATGAGCAGGAGTCACCAACAGATATGATGTCATAGATCTTGTCTTCAACGTTCTTATAACCGCCGGTTATTGTTACATCAGCGAAAGTTGCTGGCATTACAGAACCGTTAGTGTATGAAATAACGACCGTAATAACGCCTTAAAATTGAAAATATTAAGTAATATAAATAACAAAAATGAATAATAAAAATATATTTATTCATTGTAAATTACAGTTATCTACTTAAAAAAAAATGCATATCCGAGTAATTAGTTATAGTAGGCCTAAATTGGAAATGGTTGAAGATTCATTGTTGGTAACTGTTCTCATAACCACTTTTCAGAGATCGAACTAACATTATCTATTTGTCATAGTATTCTTAATGGACCGGTCCTCTCTTCTAAGCTCCACCCCTTGGATATTCGTTGCTAAAGTCCCACAAAACGATAGTGCAAAAACATACGCAAACATGTGCGCTTGTTGGATCATGGACAACACGTGTGTTTATGAGACGCGCGCGTGCTCCTGACACTGTTCTGATTGTGAAGTTGTCAGTTGTGAAGTTTGTGAAGTTTATCACTCCTGAAAAATCCATTATAAATACTTGGAGAAAAAAAAAACAAAAAAACAAAAACAAAAAAAAAAAAACATGCCATAAAGGGCGTGAGACAATGATAATACTAATAGATCAGTTCATAGAGTATCAGAATGGCCATCGGAAGGTCTTAGTTTCGCATCAAATTGTGGGCATAGATTTTTCTCAAATATTCATGATCCTCTTAAAGCTGGTTTTTGAGTCAAAGCTTCGGTTCGTTTCCTGAGCTTTGATTGGTTGCACATTTTTTCGCTTCGCAAAAAATCCGACAGGAAAATGAATGCGCATGCACATGAAACGACGCTTTCGATTCGCACGAATAAATTCGTCTAGTGGAAAACCGGCTTTAAGCGTAGGTATTTCTCTACATCAACGTGCATTCATACTGGATCCGAATTTCCGAATAGGGAAGCTGACGTTCAACGCATCGGAAACGCGAACCGAATTTCGGTTCTGTTCCGATGTTTATGTAACTTTACTATAATGTGATTAAAGCCGATTTTCTATTGGGTGAATTTATTCGTGCGAATCGAAAGCGTCGTTCATGCATATGCGCTTTTACATTTCTATCGAAATTTTCGCTTCAGAGAAATTGGTAGCTCGAACTGTTTTTACGTTTTGCGAAGCGAAAAATGTGCGCAACCAATCAAAGCTCAGGAACCGAAACGACACCTTCGATTCGCGCATATAAATTCGCCAAGTGGAAAACCGGATTTACATCAAAGATACTAGCAACACAAGATAGAACTCTCCAGATAAAAAAGAGAACTGCATTGCTTTGTGGATAAAATGTAAGTTTCCTTAAGCTGGTTTTCCACTAGGCAAATGTATTCGCGCAAATAAAAAGCGTCGTTTCATGCCCATGCGCATTCACCCCATTCACATTCCTATCGGAGTTTTTGCGAAGCGAAAAAATGCGCAACCAATAAGAGCTCAGGAAGCGAACCGACGCATTGATTTGCACGAATAAATTCGCCTAGTGGAAAACCAGCTTTATATCCAGGCGTACGCGGCGCCGCATTAAATTAAGCGTCGCGCAAGTCTTGATCTTGGGATATACTTACGTAAATTGACATTATTGTAAACAGAAGTGCGCCGCATACGTCTGTATCTGCGTACAAAATATGACGTATATCCGCTTCATTTTGCTACGGAAGCGTTTTTTTAAATTTTTTTTATCTTGTGTTGTCTTTGTTTTCATGTGATTTATATCCGATTAATTATAAAGTATTTGATAATAATGGTTAGAAGATAATAACTGTAATGAAATGCAATGGTATAAACAGGAAAAATTAATTACTAACCTTTAACATTTTTTCCTAGTCCATTGGGTTGCGGACTATTTGTACTAATTTCATATGCATCTAAATCTACCGGGTTATAAACTGTGATCTTCAATTCAAATACTTCCCAGTTCCGTAGATTACTTGCGTTTACCGTCACTGTTAGATTTCCTGATGCCGTAAACAAGTGAGTAATATCGTCTGGCACATCAGGGCTAGTTGCTGTTGGAGAACAGATGCAAATTTGAATTGTAGGCCTATGCAATAATGACGCGCTCACTTTTTAAGAGATGGCAGCTAGTAAGAAAATAATGTTTTCCCTGTTTTATATAATACACAATTTTGAGATTTTTCTTAGGGTATTTGTATCCCTTTTCAATTATGATTTCATCTTTTTACCGTGATTTTTAATTGCTGAATTTGAATCGTAAGATTTTTCCAGATGAAATATTAGTATTATTATTAGCATTATTTTGCTATTTAGTATTAGTATATTGTTATATAGTATAATATTAAAACAACAATATTAATTTTGTTGCTTGAGCTTTATATTTTTAGACCATTTTTATTTATTTATTTACTCTTTTACATTTATATCATATTCTAATAAAGGCCTGAATGTCCTCGTATATCATATGGGTCATTTTTATACATAGTTTTAAAAGTATTTTATTGTGTATACAAGTATTAATTACAATATAGGTTTATTTAATACAATTTTTTTTCTCTTAATGATTTTAGGCATTTCCAACTTATGCATTATATAATACAGCTGCTGTAGAAAAAGAAATATTAAAAGGTGGGAGAACCCCGCGAAAGGCAAAAAAAAAAGAAAAAAGTTTTTGCATTTTAAAATATCCAAAACTCAGGCCTACATAGAGGGCACTGTTGACGTGAGTCCCTACCTGAAAATATTCGTTATGGTTCATAGTAGGCCTACATATGTGCCAAGTTTCATGATTTTATCAAAAAGTGCACGATTAAGCCAACATTGCCTAAACTGCTGGACTAATATGATGATTTTAGGAAATTATAATATTTAATAAATATTCTAATAAAATTAATAGAATCAATAATTCAATTAAAATATTAATATCCAAATGCTACACCCATCTTGTATTTATATTGATTGCAATAGAGTTTACTTAACACTTCATTAAAATATTTTAAATACTACGTACAAATTCTGTCTACTTCTTCCGTTGCGCCATCTCCCCAATCGATCGACAGCAGTGCCGGAGTACCCCGTTGTAGCCAAACGAACAGAGTAGCTTCTTCAGTAGACCTAAGTTCAGTGTGGTTATCCATCGTCAGTAATAAACCTAAAAAATTAAAAAAAATACGTACTAATGGTATATGATTTCGAGACCGGACAATTTAGCGATGACGATTACGATGACGATGATGGTAATGGTGATGGTGATGATGATGATGATGATGCTGATGAAGATGATAAAGTTCCTCTTATATAATGCAAAATGCAATAAGCTTCTAAACACATGGAAATTAATAAAAATGAATTCTTCGAAACCGACTAAAAGTACAGTAAAAAATCCTAAATTCGATGTCAGATTTTAAATAATAATGTATTTAATACCATGTTTTGTATGATGTATTTGTATAATCGCACATGTGCACGTATATCTATATGTACGGGTATATGCGTATACTATTTGTATTTGTATACAGTAGGCCTAAATTATATATATATATATATATATATATATGCCTATATATATATGTG